GGGCTCCTAAGCCAGGCCCCCTGCACGTAATGCGTGAACTCCATCTCTGGGGCACTTTTCCCAGCCCTGTAGTTGTAGTTGGGAAAGTGCTAAAGACATTTTAAGCAATAAGCATTACTGTTTATTCATATAATTACAGAAATAAGGTTACATCATTTTCCTTGAGCTATTTCAAGAAGAGATTTCGGTTAGTGGGTGAATACCACGGAGGTATATTCATGTATCGTTTTCATCAGCTGGGCTGGACACGCCTTAATTTCGTGGGTAAGAGTCTGTTCTGTTTAGGTTTTTAGACCAGAAATCACTTCCAAGGTATTTTGTAGCACATGCCTTCGAGTCTCTGTAAGTTACCCCCACCAAAATATGCATGATCATAATCACTGGCTTTCGGCACCAGGCAGGAAACAGTAGACCGGGTTTGGTACCGCCAGCACAAGTTGCTCGGTTCCAGGGCGAAGGTGCGGCATGTAGTGCTGACCCGCCCGCAGCTCGAGCTGCAGTCACGCAGCGCCCAGACAGCCTTTGGGCGAGGGATCCAGAAATAGCCTCAGTTCTTTCCAGTAGAGCCGACTCAGTCCAGGGGAGTGCCCGCAGCTAGGGTGTGTGCCCTGAGAAAGGGGCGCGGCGGCTTTCTAAGGTTTGGCAGGCGGGACTCGGGGTACCTGGGCTTGGGGACAGAGGGGAAGCTTTGGAGAGGAAACCCACTTACTGTGAGAGGTCAGGGGAGGGTGGGAGGTGACAGGCGGGGTGTTTAGGGGACAGATCATCGTGGTTGCCTGGTTTGGCTTTGATGTGGGGCCGTTCCTGGGGGCCCACCCGGGCTTGCGCCCTGATACTTTGAACTCCCCCAGCCCTGTAGTTGGGGTTGGGCTCTGTATCAACCCTGAATGAGTTTGAAAAGCTTGAGAAATAGGTGGAGGTTGGTTTTAACTAAGAGGAGCCAGGAGCACTGACTAATCATGATCTGCCTGGAAGGAGTCCTGATGGTCCTAGAGTCCCGAGCTCCTGGGGACCAGGCAGAGCCCCAGGCCCCACTGTGCTGACAGGGCGCTCAGGGCTCCTTGCGGCCCATGGAGTCACCTTTTTTTTTTTTCTTTTTGGGTTACTCCTGGCTCACGCACTCAGGAATTACTCTGGGCAGTGTTTGGGGCACCATATGGGTTGCTGGGGATTGAACCCAGGTCAGCCGCGTGCAAGGCAAATGCCCTCCCCGCTGTGCTATTGCTCCAGCCCCACTTATTTTCAAGTCATCAGACAGGAATCTAATTGTCACTAATGAGTTGGGATTGTGGTTTCATTTCATAACAAGTTGGTGAAAAAGAGAGAGTGAGAGAGAGAATTCATGTTTATTAATAGCCAGTAATCCTGAAGTCTCACTGGGCAACAGGAAGAGGCAACATTTGAATAGAAAAGCCAGGTCACCTGTTCTTTTGTTTGTTTGTTTTGGGGCCACACCTGGTGGTGCTCAGACCTTCCTCTTGGCTCTGCACACAGGGCTCATTCCTGGTAGGCTCAGGGGATCGTTTGAGGTGTCAGGATCGAGCCCAGGTTGTCAGCATGCAAGGCAGCGCCCTGCCTGCTGTCCTGTCTCTCTGGCCCCAGCTCACCTTCTTGGAAAATGTCTATAAACTGACTACTTTATGCATTAAAAACTGTTTTGGGGGCCAGAGAGAGGCCACGGGATAAAGGCACTTGCCTTGCGTATAGTAGACCCCGACACATCCTCTAATACCACATATGCCCCCCCAAGTGCCACGAGGGGGTCACGTCTGAGTAAAGAGCAGGAATAAATAGCCCCTGAGCACTAGAGGATGTGACCACCGACCCCAAACAAAAAATATCCTGTATCCGGAATTTAGGTCTATCCAACCTTTTCATACTAAGATATTACATGTATTTTCTTTTTTTTTCTTTTTTCCTTTCTGGTTGTGGTCCCCTCCTGTCAGTGCTCAAGGGTCAGTCCCAGCTCAGTGCTCAGGGCACCCTTTGACTCTGGGAATCCAGCCCGGGTCTCCTCTGGGTGCAGCATGCGCCCAGCCCACGCGGCCACCTCTCCAGCCCTCGTTACACTTTTTGGTGAGGTGTCGATGATGGGAGGAGTCAGGTTTGTCCACTGAGGAAATCTTCATCTTGAAAAATAAAAATTGAGCAACCTGTCACAGCACATCTCCCCACTTAGCAGAAAGTTCTAGAGCTGAGGATGGGGCTCAGCAGGAGGGGATATTCGCCTTGCATGTATGAGCACCTCACAGGGGTGGGGGGTAATGGGGAGGAAGCGTAAAAGTGTTTGTACTTGATCCCTGACACTATAAAGAAAAGGAAAAAAAAACTTGCTCATTTGTGAATCTATAGTCTGCTTAGAAAGGTGGTGTTCTTGGGGCCAGAGAGGGGGGTAGGGCGCCTGCCTTGTAGGTGGTAGATCAGGGTTCAATCCCCAGCGTCCCATATGGTCTGCTGAGTACTGCCAGGAGCGACCCCTGCCTGTCGCCAGGTATGGCCCACACCCTCCCAAAAATGTGGTTTCTTGTTATTTTAAGTCCTTATTTAATTTTTTGTGTTTGCTTTTTGGGTCATGCCCTGTGATGTTCAGGGGTTACCCCTGGCTTTGCACTCAGGAATTACTCCTGGTGGTGCTCGGGGGACCACACGGGATGCTGGGGATCAAACCCAGGTCAACTGCGTGCAAGGCAAACACCCTACCCGCTATGCTGTCGCTCCAGCCCCTATTTTAAGTTTTTAACTCTGTTTTTTTGGTGCTGGGGATCAAACATGGGACCTCATACAAATCAGGCATGTGTGCCGCCACAGAGCCACACCCCAGCTTTAGCCTTCTTCCTGTTCTCCAGACTTTTCACTTGACTTCTCTTTAATGCATTTAATCCCATCAATTCTTTTCTAGAACCTGACCACAAGACACACTTTCTTCCTTTGGGCCACTCTCTTTGGTGACAGTTCAAGTGTATCCTGGTGGTTCAGTCTAGGAAATGGCTAAAATGCTAGGTGACCAGGAGTCTGGCAAGAGATGCAAAGTTTGTTTGTTTGTTTTTTCCCACAAAAATACAGAGTGAGTGCTGTGTCCTGGTCACTTCACTTTGTATACTGTGGACAATGACATTTCCATACTGCGTTTATTCCATTGGCATTCGAGGAAAGCATCTAATCCCCTGCACGTGCACGCGCACGTGCACACAGATACACACACACACACACACACACACACACACACACACGGGTGGAAATTGGGGCATTCCTAGCAATGCTAAGGATAACTCCTGGCTCTGCACTCAAGAACTCCTCTGGGCAGTGCTGGGGGACCATCGGGATGCCAGGGATCCAGCCTGAGTCTGCCACATACAAGGCAGCACCTGCCCCGCTATTCAATCATTCAGCTCCTTAACCTCCTCTATTTTTAACGCCCTTTACTGCCTGAATCTAAATGCCTCAGAATGCATGTAAGCTGTCTCCTCCTCTCTTCTCCATATCTCCCGGGTTCCCTCCTGTGTTGGTCTTAGTTGTACACATGTGCTCCAGCTAGTCAGGAAGGTCCTCCTCGGTGCCTCCTTTCTGTGGCTTTCTCACGTGTGCCATTTTGTTTATTCATTTGGCCTTTTGGGTCATACCCAGAAAACCTCTGGGTCTGCACCTAGGAATTACTCCTGGCAGTGCTCAGGAATATGGGATGCTGGGGATTGAACCCAGGTGGGACACTTGCAAGGCAAATGCCCTCCTGCCCAGACTGTCATGCCACTTTAGTGAAGAGCGCCAGCTTCTCCCTTGCCTTCACCTCCAGGCTTCCCGTGCTCCCCTCCAGGCTTCAGCCGCTGCTGCAGGTCGCTGAGCCCAGTGCCCATAGCCACACCTGATCACACGTGGTGTCTCTGGGGGCCGTTTCTTCACCTTGCCTGACCACAAGCTTCAGGTACCCATCAGTGACCAGACTGAATCCATCACCCCCCAAAACCCCCTGGGTCCATCTGTAAATTTCTGCTGTGGCCCTGGCAGAATCTACATCTCTCTCGTAGGCTATCTCTGGTACTGTGTGGCCTTGTGGAAAGACTCTTTCTTTGCCTCTCCTGCCACATGCCCTGCAGCTGAGGACTGCCCTTTTCATGTTCGCGTGCCTGCCACCTCGTTTCATGCCGAGCCCAAGGAGATTAATATACTTTTGTTGAATGGGAATTACTTAGGAAAAAAATTTTATGACTCATTTAAAATTAGAGACTAGCGCTTATTTAATAGGTCAGAATTGACTCCACGAATAACAGTCAGAGCAAAGTCCCATTTCCATGGCTTATTCAAGTAACTGCTTCCTTTGTGGAAGTAGATTGTGAAAATCTGTGCGTGTCAATGTCTGTTTCTGATTGTTTCCTTGAGAGCCTCAGAGACTTGGCGTTCTAATGTAGACTAGAGGTCTGTGGCATTCTCATAGATGTTGCCGGGACTGCCATCGAAGATCTGTAGTGTATGTCTAATGTAAATCTGATATATATTGTGGCGAATTCCTCGGGTGTGCATGTTAGCTTTCTCTTCATCTTTATGGGACGGTTTTGCCAGTTGTTTATTTATAAGATCTGGGGCAATTCAGAGCACATCAAAGATTTTTTTTCCACATAGTAGAACAGTTACAGAATTTCAGTTCTAGCATTTGTATATTTTGTAGTTTGTTTCATTAATCTTACAAACGCCCAAGTATTATCTGTGTCTTTTTCCAGTACTTAAGTGAGTACTGTTCAAAATTGAAGTGCTCCTGATAATTTTGTATAAGTCGTCTTTCCTCAGGCTGGAGAGAAAGCTCCGTGGGCTGGAGTGTGCTTTTGCACACAGGAGAGATCCATATTCCCAGCACCCCAAAGCACCCCCAGATCCACCCCCGGCTCTACACCTGCCTGTTATTCACTGAGTTTTTCCTAAAGTGCAGATGAAGAAGAAGAGTTTTCCTGTTGATGTCTTACTTGGATTTTAACTGACTGATACGAAGCTGTTTTATTTTTTCTTTCTAGGTTGCAAACATGTTAAAGGCATCCTGTTATACGGACCTCCAGGTTGTGGTAAAACTCTCCTGGCACGACAGATTGGCAAGATGTTGAATGCAAGAGAGCCGAAAGTGGTCAACGGGCCAGAAATCCTGAACAAATACGTGGGCGAATCGGAAGCTAACATCCGAAAGCTCTTCGCCGATGCTGAAGAGGAGCAGAGGCGGGTAAGGTGCTGGGCTCAGCTCGGAACTGTGGCCGCACACTCTATCCTGGGAATTCTCTTTCGGATCTCGTTTCTGGTGTTACTGAATTAGTGGGGAGGGCAAGGAGCTTTGCCTGATGTGAGCAGGTATCGCCCACACTTTTAGGCTATAAAGATAGACGATCAGACAGCCAAATGTTTTGCCACGACCTGATGAATCCTTTTTCAGGTAATACTTCATTCTGCATTGCCTACAGACACTTGAACCCACATATCCTTTGGAAAGGGGGAGAGTTAGATTCCCAGAGAGACAGGGTGTGTGTATGTGTGTGTGTGTGTGTGTGTGTGTGTGTGTGTGTAAAGTGGGATAATTAGATTCCCAGAGAGACAGGTGGTGTGTTGGTGCATGTCTTTGTGTGTTTGTGTGTGTGAGGTCCATGTGCAGAACTAACAGAAGGGCCCTCAAGACCTGTTAGGGCCTCAGTGACCAGCAGCAGTTGATGAATCATGGAGGAAAGCTATGGAGAGCCTGGCAAGCTACCGAGAGTATCTCGCCCGCATGGCAGAACCTGGCAAGCTCCCTGTGACGTATTCGATATGCCAGACACAGTAACAACAAAGTCTCCAATGGAGACGTTACTGGGCCCGCTCGAGCAAATCGATTAGAAAAATATTGGATTAAAAATCCAAGCAGGGAGATTGCTCAAGGGGCCAGAGCACATGCCTGCATCCAGGAGGCCTGGCAGTGGTTCCTCAGCACCCCTTGGGGCTCAGGACTGACCCCTGAGCAACACCCGGGGTGGCCCCCAAAACAAGACAAAACTCCAATCAGCTTACTGATTTAAGGCTGATTTAAGGTTCCCAGACAATTACTTACAAACTATTTTGAGTACATCCAGGAGGTTATTTCTAGATAAAGTTAGTCTAGATGGAATAAAGCAGATGACCCTCCCTAGAGTGGGAAGCACACTGTACTCTCTCACACACGCAAAGAAAACATACACCCCCACATGTAATACACACATGTAACACGTACACACACATATGCACATACATCCCATCTTCCTCTGTAGTCTGTGGCTGGCTGGCAAGAGCCTTAAATTCAATCCCTGGTCCCCCCTTGCCACCTCCCATAGCACCTCTGGGTGTAGCTCGGCAGCCACACCTCCAGCCCCAGCTCCAAACCGTCAGTCACACATGGCAGGCCCGTGATGCTCTGATTCCTGCCACCAGCATCTGTCTCTGGCAGTCACGGCGGGCGGCTGGGGGTGCACAGGTGCCATGACAGATGGAGCAGTACTGCACCTGCCACCCGTGTGTGTGGAAGCGAGAGGCGACCTGGTTCTCCACCAGTGTAATAGAAACCGTTGAGGGCTGGAGTGTTAGAACACTGGGTAGGGCCCTCATCTTGTACACGACGGGCGTGGATCCGTCCCCAGCACCCCACGTGGTCCCCCAGAGCCAGGAGTAAGTCCTGAGCACTGCCAGGTATGCCTCCCCCCACTCCCACCCCCAGCCAGCAATGGAAAAGACTGCTATTAAGCAACTGGGGAAAAGTACCATCATGGTTTTTTGTCCCTAGAAATACATTATTCGTCCATTCTGGAGCCTGAGAAAGCATGAGGCGCTGCCCTGTCTCCGGCACTGGCTGCCACTTGCGCTTTCTCCCGGCCTTGTCCCTGTCTTCGCAGCGTCCTGAGTGCCGTTGTCCCACACTGCATTCATCTTCAGATTCAGCCGACAGTTGGGAAGCAGTTTTCTCTGTCTGTTTCCCTCTTTTGCCATTATGGCTGGGGAGTGAGTTGGAAAAAAAAAAAAAGGAATATGAATTCTCAAATGTATTGAATTAAGCAAAAATCTAGCAACAAAGATGGTGCAAGGGTGTCACTACAGACTTTCATGCCTTCTTCAAAGATGATGATACGCTTTGGCAACCCCATAAGAACGCCAAAGGATGACATCACTGGAATGTTTGTTCGGCGTTGCATCATTCTACTAAGCCATTCCATTATTTTATTTACTTTTTTTTTTAAGCACAATTGCATCTGTTTGATGAGGAATGACAATACTGTTCCTAGAATGTTGAAATAGCAAAGTATAACATAAATTTGTAGAAGGACTCAGTGGGCCCGCATGGTAATTGCAAGGCAGAATGAGATTTATTCTGTTGTTAAATTTTTTTTTTTTGGTTCTGTGGAAGACTTCTAGGAAGGAAAAAAGTTACGAGATACCAATCTAATAAAAATAAACAAAGACCGAAATTAGGGCCAAGAGAAATAGCTCCAAGGGCTGGAGTACATGCCTCCCACGTGGGTGTCCCACATCCTCTTCCGGCACAGTGTGGTCCCTTGTGCAACGCTGGAAGTGACCTCCAAGCACTGAGCTGAGAGGCGGTCCCTGGCACTGCCCATGTGGTCCCAACTGTCTTCCCCAAGGGGGGGGGGGGGAACAGCTCTGGGCTGGAGTGATAGTACATTGGGTAGGGTGTTTGTCTGACCCTGGTTTGATCCTCGATGTCCCATATGGTCTCCCAAGCACCACTAGGAGTAATTTCTTAGCGCAGAGCCAGGAGCAACCCCTGAGCATCTCTGGGTGTGTGGCCCAATAAAAACCAAGAAGCAAAGGGGAAAAAAAAAAGAATGAAAACCCTGAAAGAGAAAAGTCCTGGAGTTGGAGCTAACGGCCCCCAGTGGTGTTTTGAGGAGTAAGCACCAGGCCCGAGTGAGTTAAGACACCCTGCAAAGCAGCATTTGCTGAAATCTGTCGTGCCAGCTTCCGCATAGCTGCAGAGGCATCTTTGGTGCTGTTCTTAAACCTGCAGACAGTTTAAATATGGCACTATTCATGACAAAACCAAGTCGGCAAGGAATTTCTAGGTAGCTATTAATCATAGCTAGCCAGTCTTTTCAGTTATAAACTTTCTCAGTTCTCACGTCTGGAAATGGCTTGGTGTCTGCAACTAATGACCCCATGGAGGGTGTCTGTGCGTTCCACAGCAGAGCAAAGCGTCGCTCCTGTGATGCTGGCCTGTCCAGGCTGGGGGAGAGGAGCCCTCGCATATAGGTCAGACCTGTTAAATATAGAGCAGTGGCTGTCCGGGGCCGTCGCCAGGGGCTGTGTTTCTGTGGGGGAAGTGTTTTCAAATGATAAGACCCGAGCTAAAAGCCAGGGAGCAGAAGGCGATTGCATTTTGGGAGCGTTTAAAGGGTTTATTGATGATTAAGCTATATTCATCTGTGAACGTTAATCTTAACGTCTTCTGTACCCGACCTCAAGTTGATGATTAAGCTGTATTAATCTGTGAACTTTAATCTTAACGTCTTCTGTACCCAATCCCAAGCGTATTGCAGCAAGAACTTGCTTTTATTTGAGCAGCCCACCTGTAAAAATTGATGTCATTGTACCGCCTGCGCTGGGGGAAGGGACCTGATGACAGGTCAAAAGATTAGTCGGGTTCTGAGAAGGTCAGACTTGTCCGGCACTGTGTTCGGGACGGCTTGCCTCTGCGGTCATTGAATCAGGCACAGTGTCCTTATTGTCTCCGGGTCCCTGCCCACGGGGATGATTTAGGATGCAGGGGGGGTGGACTGAGAAGGAAGTCAGGATCCTGGTGGCAGCATAAGGCACATGGACAGCAAACTTCAGGTGTTAAAGCTGCCTTTTGTTTCCTGCCACATTAGCAGTCAAGTTGAAGAAAAATGTCTTAACTGTCCCCCCCCCCAAAAAAAGACAAAGGGGCTGGAGGAATAAAAACAAAAAGGTAAATTTTCAGTCTTGAACAGGAGTGCCCGTCAAGCAAAGTTGATTGTTCTTTCTCAGTCTTTTCTATGGTTGGGTGGATGTATGTCTCTGTGTATGTATCTGTGTGTGTTTGTGTGTCTTTTTTTTTCTTTTTGTGTCACACCAGCATTGCACAGGGGTTACTCCTGTTTCACGCACTCAGGAATTACTCCTGGCGGTGCTCAGGGGACCATATGGGATGCTGGGAATCGAACCTGGGTCAGCCGCGTGCAAGGCAAACACCCTACCTGCTGTGCTATCTATTGCTCCAGCCCCAGTGTGTGTCTTTTGTCTGTGTGTATTGGTGTGTCTGTGTGTGTTTCTGTGTCTATGTGTTTCTGTGTGTCTTTTTTGTCTTTGAGTATGTTGGTATTTGTGTGTGTGTGTGTGTGTGTGTGTGTGTGTGTGTGTGTACCAGGATTGAGCCCAGGGCTTCACCCATGCAGGTGCCCTGTGCCGAGTTACATTACAGGCCTAGAATGAAAGATTTTTTTTTTTAAGGCAGCAAACTCTGTTATCGTCAGACATCTGTTCAGTCAATAAAATGATATTAAAGTTAGGCTGTTGGTTTTTATTTTTCAGATTTCAATTTAGCTTTTAGTTTTTTTTAATGGAGATCTGTTTGTAATTCTCAGGAGCAAAAGAATAAAATCTCATTTAAGTTGAGAAGCAGTATCAATAGATGACCCGCCTGACATAGCCTGGCATTTGAGAATAAAACACACTCTACAGAAAAATGGTGCTCAGGGCTTCCTCCTGGCTCTGCATTCTGGGATTACACCTGGAGGACTTGGGGGACCTTGTGTGGTTCTGGGAGTCAAGCTTAGGATGGCTGTGTGCAAGGCCAAAACCTTATTCACTGTACTGTCTTTCCTGGAAAAACATTTGATAGCCTATTTCAAGCCTATATTCCCTCGCTTTGTAGGGGCCACACCCGGGCTGGCCCAAATCTGTTCCTGTGTTGATAGATACAGGATGATCTCTGTCATGTGTGGGACTTAAAAACACAAGGCAAGGTAGCAGCAAAGCTCCAAAGGCAACGTAATGGGAGGACTGAGCCACACAGTTGAGTTGGGGCCAAGGGTGGCGGCGATTTGTGGGGATTGAGTGTGAGGAGGGTTTTTGAGAGGGAGGGTCTTTGGGGTCCATGGTTGACGGAGGTGGATTACACTGGTGATGGGTTGGAATTATCTGCACGAGAAGCCACCATTACAGAATCCCAATCAATTAAAAAAAAAAAAGTGATTCCTGGTTAGGTGTAGGGGGGCCCAACCGGTGGACTGAAGGCAAGCCTGGGCCACCCCTTCCCCCACTAGACGTGCCCTCCAATTCCAGCTCTCAGCTTGCCCTCTTTTTTTATTTTTGCTTTTTGGGTCACACCCGGCGATGCTCAGGGTTACTCCTGACTCATGCATTCAGGAATTACTACTGGCATTGCCAGGGGGACTATATGGGATTCTGGGAATTGAACCCGGGTCGGCCACGGGCAAGGAAACACCCTACCCACTGTGCTATCATTCCAGCCCCTCAGCTTGCCCTCTAAAGCTAATGAGTTGCCTTCAGTAAGTAAGTATCTGTGTCATCCACAGTTTAAGTGTAAAAAGTTTTGTAGTACATGGAATACTAAAAATTTAGAGATTATAAAAAAAGTAGTAGGGTAGAGTAGTTATTTAACTAGTCACACAGTAAAAAGATTATCTTATATAGCCATGGATATGTGTATTATTTTACAATGGTGTAGGCCTAACATCGTTTTGGTTTTGGTTTGACTTTGTGGTTGGGTTTGGGGACCACACTCATTGATGCTCAGGGGCTTCTCCTGGAGCCGTGCTCAAGAGCAACCCCTGGTGGTTCTGGGGGACATCCTTGGTGCCGGGGAAGGAACCAGAGTCAGCTGCGTGTGAGGTCAGGGCCTCCCTGCGCCCCCCCAGTGCTGTCTCCATGGTCCCCACTTTGTCATTGTTTCTGCCACGTCCAGGGCTTCCACACCATTTGCTTGTGTGTTTATGTGCTCACACACCCAGGACTGGGACACTGGGAGGTCTTAAACATCAGAGCCACCGCAGACATACTTACACACACGAGCAGTACTAGGCAGCAAACTCTGGACTCCCCGACTCACACCCACAAGGCAGGCCATCCCCCCCGGGAGCTGGCCAGGGCCTCTGAACCCTGTTTGTAAAGAACAGCCGAGTTCAGGAAGATACACACGGCTCTCACTTTCCAATTCTTGGCTTCATTTTTTTTTTCCTAGTTTGTGCTGCAGTTAATTTTTGCCATTGCAGTTAAAATTTAAAGAGAAACAAATCTATCCTGTGTCAAGAGCATTTCTCTTTAGGTGATAATTGTTCTGGACGTTATTTCTATTTGTTTTACAGCTTTTGCTTAAATTGGCATTTATTGATTTTAAAAAAGGAAGGAGGGAGGGAGGGAGGGAAGAAAGAAGGAGGGAAGGAGGGAGGGAGGGAGGGAGGGAGGGAAGGAGGGAGCAAGCAATCTCTGAGTGGGGGCATCAGGGGATGACTCAGAGGTTGGTGCCCGCGTCAGTCCTGCCCCAGTGCAGTCCCCAGCACCAGCAGAATTGCCTAAACTTCATCCAGCGTGGCTCCAAAACAAAAAGGGAAAAATTGAGACTTTTTTTTTTAATTTTGTTTTTGTTTGGGGGCCATACCCTGCGATGCTCTCAAGAATCACTCCTTGGCAGTGCTTGAGGATCCCAAGTATTGAACCCTGGGTTGGCCATGTGCAAGGCAAGCGCCCTATTCACTGAACCATCTCTCTAGCCCGTAAAGATTTATTTTTAAATGACATCCTTGGTCCCAGGTTAGCTCAGTGAGAAAGCACTTGCCTTACTTGAGGTGTAAGGCCTCCACATGGATTCCAGGTACCATCCCTCATGCTGGAGGAAAAAGAAACTATGAATGCAGATATGGCCCAAGTGACAGAGCATCACCGGCATGTGCACAGCTGAGTCTGTCTCGGCACCCTATCCCTCCCCCATGACCCTGATGGCCCCAAGGAACCCTAATCTTCGAGCACCCCTCCCCCAGTAAAAAGACGAAATTTTTGCCTGAGATTGAATGGGTGCGTGCCTAGCCCTGGGCCCCCCGTGCCCACCATTTATATGATCTGTGTTGTCGTGCACGGGCTGCATTTATTCATATCTGTCTCATTTCACTAATTCCTGATGTTCTTTGTGTTGACAGCAAAAAAAAAAAAGAAAATTCCTAGAGTGCATATCTCCCCTTTTGGTCCCTAATAGGCGTCTTAATTACTTAAATATAAATTATTGAAGATTCATGTTAAATTAATAAATCATTTGCATTTTAAAGTGCTTGTGGGTTCAGAGCAATAGTGCAGCGGGTAGGGCGTTGCCTTGCAGCCAGGTGTAGCCCAGGAAAAAAAAACAACAACAAAAAAAGTATTTGTATCCTGTAAAACCCCAAGATACATAAACTAACTATATCCTTTAAAACCCCAAGATACATAAACTAACTTTCATGATGACTATTTCTGTTAAGCGAAGATAGACATCTGTACATGAGAATCAGTGTCTCTTGGATTGTTCCTTGGGTTTTTTTTTTTTTTTTGAGGGGGCCATACCTGGTCAATCTCTGGGCTTACTCCTGCCTCTGTGCTCAGGATTGTGCCTGGCAGGGCTCAGGGACCATATGGAGTTCCGGAGTTCGAACCTGGGTCCCCTACATGCAGGACAAGTGCCTACCTGCTATGCTGTCTCTCCAGCCCTGACTATGCTTTCTGTGAATGTTTTCTGTGTTCTCAGTTGGCTGTTAGGAAGAAGTCATTTTCTAAAGGTCATATCGCGGGGGCTGGAGCAGGGAGGGCATCTGCCTTGCTCATGGCCGACCTCGGTTTGATCCCTGCCATCCCATATGGTCCCCTGAGAACTGCCAAGAGTAATTCCTGAGTGCAGAGCCAGGAGTAACCCCCAAACATTGCCAGGTGTGACCCAAAAAGCCAATCAATCAAATAAATAAAGGTCACATCGCCAAATATGGGTCATGTTCAGTCATTTCCCTTTCTTGCCCAGTTCCAAACTGGCCTCTGACAAGAGTTGACATTTAACTGCACCACATGACACACAGATGCAGCACAAACCTCCGACTGAGCCTCTCATGGGATCCAGAGAACTCGGGAGCCCTTTCCCCTTCCTGCCCACACAGTAAGATGTATCTGCACGCGTGGACAGCTAGTTGCCGAATATTTCCTTTCCTCCGTGTAAAAATGCATCCTTCGGTTTGGTGGCTGTTATCTAGCGGTTCCAAGGTTCTGAAATGCCTTTTCCATTGGCAGCAGCCCCCAGGCCTTGGAGACGGTGCCAGCTCGGGTGGTATTGGCTGTGTTTACTGGGGGAAAGGGAAGGAGGCTTGTCTGGGGGAACCTCTATTAGTCGGGGCCACGTGTGCCTTTGGTGACCCTGGCCGCTGTCTCTCCCCTCCCCAGCTGGGTGCTAACAGCGGTCTGCACATCATCATCTTCGATGAGATCGATGCTATCTGCAAGCAGAGAGGGAGCATGGCTGGCAGTACGGGGGTCCACGACACGGTCGTCAACCAGCTGCTGTCCAAGATCGACGGGGTGGAGCAGCTGAACAACATCTTAGTCATAGGTGTGTCTGCCTGAAAAATCTAGAGGGGCTGGGGGTGATTTCTAAACCACTGGACACTGGGCCACAGCCAAGCGGGCAGGCCACTTGCCTTGCAGGAGGCCATCCCGGGTTTGATCCCCAGCAGCCCATATGCCCCCTCCCCCAACCCCCCACCAGGAGTGGTTCTTGAGTGCAGAGCCAGGATGTAGTCCCTGAACAAATACAGCAATAGTTGTTCTCACCAGCTCAGTGAGCTACTGGCCCTCCCTCGCTTTCACACGACCTAGCGTCTCCACACCTTAGAGTTTCTTGCCAAAGGAACCGGATGGTGGCAGGAGTTTTCAAGCTTGCACACGGCTGACCCCGGTGAGATCCTCAAGCATTTGCACGGTCCCCCAAACACCGCCAAGTGTGATTCCCCCTAAACCCTGATTGATGTGACTCACCTTCTGTTTCTTATTAAATATCTAACCTAAACCTTTCATTACTCTTACATTCCCTTTGTTAGTATGGTGGTGAAATACTGCAGTGACGTTTCCAGGTATTTTCATTGCAATAGACCGAGAACAAATTGTGGGTTTCTTTTTTGAGAATTAACTTGGCGTTTTTTTGTTTTGTTTTGTTTTTTTATTGGTTCTGTGGGCCACAACTGGTTGCTGGTCAGGGTTTACTCCTGGCTCAAGGATTACTCCTGGCAGGGCTCTGGGAAACATACATGGTGCGAAATGCGCGGGATTGAACCAGGGTTAGCTGTATGCAAGGCAAGTGTCCTACCCACTGTCCTACACACTGTCCTATCATTCTAGCCCTAATTTGGTTTTCTGACTTTCATAAAATGTACTTTGGGCTTGTCAGAAATACGATTTGTCCACTGGATACTGGTGAGACGTGAGAGATGTTTTGCCTGGCTTTTGAACTCTGATCCCTCGTCTGCTGTTCTCACATCTGTGTGCAGGGATGACCAACAGGCCGGATCTCATAGATGAGGCTCTCCTTCGACCTGGAAGACTGGAAGTGAAGATGGAGATCGGTAAACGGAGCTGTCGGGGTTGGGGGGCTGGGGGAGAGGGCAGGGAAAGGGGGTGCATTGCAGGAACATAGCCACAGAACTCGCTGGCTCCAGGAATGGCACGTTCGGAGTAGCAGGTGCTTCCGTGCCAGGGACGTGAGGGGGACGAGCCTGGTTTTCTCCCCGCTGCCCAGGCCTGCCAGACGAGAAGGGCCGGCTGCAGATCCTGCACATCCACACCGCCCGCATGCGAGGGCACCAGCTGCTCTCTGCTGACGTGGACATCAAGGAGCTGGCCATCGAGACCAAGAACTTCAGTGGTGCCGAGCTGGAGGGCCTGGTGCGGGCAGCACAGTCCACTGCCATGAACAGGCACATAAAGGTCAGTTGGATGGGCCCCCAGGGACACAGGGCCGGGGCTCTGTCCTTACACATCCTCCAAGAGCTCAGGCAAGGCTGACTTCTGACGGAGAAGAAACCTGGTCGGGGCAGTGGGGTCAGCTGGCCACTGCTGAGCCTTCAGAGAAGCAGGGAGGAAGGTGATGGGAGCCTCTGACCTGGGCTGACCTCTGACCTGTGGCCTTATCTGGCCACCACCTGCTGTGGTCACATGGAAATAAAGATTTTTTTTGGTTTCCCCTCCCCGGGGATGGGTTTGGGACCATACTTGGTAATGCTTGGTGGCCATCTCCAGCTCCGTGCTCGGATCACTTCTGGCAGTCCCGGGGATTGAGCTGGGGTTGTCTGCGTGTGAGGCAAGTGCCTTAACCCCTGTTCCCTCTCTGTTGCCCTGAAGATGAAGCATTTGAAGTCTGAGCTATTACTGAGTTACAACATATCACACGAAGTTAGGTATTCTGGGCTGGGGAGTTAAACCAGCAAGCCCCGGGCTGATTCCCAGTACCACATGGTCTCCTGAGCACCCCTGGGGGTGGCCACGAAACCAGAACCCCCCAAAAAGAGAAGTTAGGTCTTGTATGTGCTTCCTATAGCAAGTGTGAAACCTGCTATTTTCTTTTTTTTTTTTTAATTAGTGAAACACCATGAGGTACAGTTATAAACTTACAAATTTTTGTGCTTGGGTTTCAGTTATACAATGATCAAGTACCCATCCCTCCACCAGCGCCCATCCTCCACCACCATGGGTCCCAGCATCCCTCCCACCCCCCATCCCCCCCATCCCACCCTGCCTCTGTGGCAGGGCATTCCCTTTTGTTCTCTCTCCTTTTGGGTCCTGTGGAAACCTGCTATTTTCAAGGTATCAAAATGGAATAAGATAGAATCATCTCTTTCCAAGGAATTCAGAATCACCAAAATGAACCTGTTTGGGAATTATTGCTGTGACAGAAGAAGTACATACCAGGATTCATTATTTTTATTTGTTCTGGGTCACATCAGGCGATGTTTTGGAGCTACTCTGAGCAGTGCTGGGGGACCATACGGTTCTGGGTTTGAAGCCGGGGCTCCCTTATGCCCCAGCCCTGTGAGCATCTCCTCGACCCTCATACTGGTTTACTTTTTTTCTGCTTTTTTGTTTTGGTTTTGGGTTCATACCTGGCAATGTTTGGGGGTTTCTCCTGGTTCTGAACTCAGGAATTACTCCTGTGGTGCTTGGGGTATGGAACCTGGGTCAGCCGCGTGCAAGGTGAGTGCCCTCCCTGCCGGACTTGCGCTCTGGCCCCCAAAACAACACTCTTGATCCCCTGCCATCACTTCTCTTTAGTTCGTACCAGTCACCTCCTTACAGATCACTTCCAGATCTTTGCCTCATCTCCTCAGAGTCTCTTTCTCCCCTAAGTCTCTTTTATGATTCATACCAGCTGCCTCCGTGTGGATGTTTTACCAGGTCTCAAATATAATACTCCCAAACCAAATTTGATTCCATTGTTTTTGCTGCTTTCCTTCCTGTTTCTAGCTCCAAGGTGCCCCATATCTGGATTTTCTTTGATTCCCGCTGTCTGCTGTGTCCTATATTAAGGCAGCTTTCTCCTGGGAATAGCTTTCAGTTTCTGTTTCTTCCCATTCCACCCCGGAGCAACTGTGGTAACAAAGCGGGCAGGGCCCTGGCCTTGCACGCGGTGGACCCAGGTAGAATCCCTGGCATCCTGAATGGCCCCCTCAAATCCCGGCAGGAGTGATCCTTGAGCACAGAGCCAGGACAAAGGCCCCAGCACAGCCAGCTGTGACCCAGAAACCAAAAAAGGAAGAAAAAGAATTCTTTGTGTGGTCATTAAGGACCTCTCGCACTGACCTTAACCTGGGCCTTCCAGCTGTGTGCCCAGCTATCCTGCAGATACGTCAGTCAAGCTGAAACTCCCAGAGGGAGCAGACAGTCTCTCCCACCTTCCTGCCTTTTCCCCCCTGGCTTCATGAAGCATCTCCCCTCCTCTGCGCTTACTCATCTGCTCAGTTCCCGGTTCACAGGCCACCCTTTCTTCAGGCCTTCTCTGTATCTCCTTTTTAACACGAATATCTTTCTTCTTGGAAAAGTCTTGTGTTGTGAAGGGTGTCTGCAGTCAACTTCGATTCAAAATGTATTGATTAGGGGCTGGGGAGAGAGTGCAGTGGGTAGGGTGTTTGCCTTGCCCACAGCTGACCCAGATTGGCTCCCTGGCATCCCATCAAAAAGGAAGTAAAGTAAAGTAAAGTAAAGGCCCTCCCGTTGATCATCGATTTGCTCGAGTGGGCCCAGTAACGTCTCCATTGGAGACTTTGTTGTTACTGTGTCTGGCATATCAAATACTCTCAGTAGCTTGCCGGGCTCTCCGAGAGGGGCGGAGGAATCGAACTCGGGTCGGCCGTGTTGGCTGCGTGCAAGGCAAACGCCCTACCGCTGTGCTATCGCTCCAGCCCCCCTGACACAACAGCTGCAAAGAAGAAAATGTCTTACTCAGGAGCAGCACCAGCAGTGAGTGACAAAGGTCCAGGCAAAGCAAAGAAGTTGGGTGTCTGAGTGGCCAACTCATGGGATGAGAGAAACTTTCACAGAGGAGTTTCCTGGTGGATGGGTCTCTTGGCAGGACATTTAGGTCAAGGAACAACATGCAAAGAAACCGAGACACGAAATAGTGCTGCCGAGTATCAGGGTGATTTATAGGCGCCTCAGCATCAAAGGGGCCTGAGAGGGCACAGCGGGTACGGCACTTGCCTGGCACTTGGTGGGCCTGGCACCCCATATAGTTCCCCCCATTCTGCCCGGAGAGATCCCTGAGCACAGAACCAGGAGTAAGCCCTGAGCACCGCTGGGGGTGGCCCATAACGGTCACAGTCGCTGTCCTCCCCTTGTTCATCGATTTGCTTGAGCAGGCCCAGTAACGTCTCCATTTTGAGACTTCTTGTTACTGTGTTTGGCACATCGAATACGTCATGGGTAGCTTGCCAGGCTTTGCCGTGCGGGCGAGATACTCTCGGTAACTTGCCAGGCTCTCCGAGAGGGGCGGAGGAATCGAACCCGGCTTGGCCGTACTGGCTGCATGCAAGGCAAACGCCCTACTGCTGTGCTATTGGAGGTGCTCTGGAGACCATATGGGATGCCAGGGACTGAAGTCTGGTTGGCTGCATGCAAGGCAAACACCCTCCCTGCTGTACTATCGCTCTGGCCCAAGTTTTTAGAATAGTTGGGAGGGGCCGGATCAATAGTACAGCATGTTGGGCATTTGCATGGCACACAGCCGACCCAGGTTTAGTCCTCAACACCTAATATGGTCCCCTGAGTACAGCCAGGCATGATCCCTGTGCATAGAGCCACGAGTAAGTCCTGAGCACTGCTGGGTGTGACCAAAAAAAAACAAAAAAAATTATAGGGCCGGAGCCATTGTCCTAATTAGCAAGTAGAGTACTGGCCTATCATACTGGTGACCCGGGTTCGATCCCCAGTATCTCATACGGTTCCCCAAGCACCGCCAGGAGTGATTCCTGAGTACAGAGCCAGGAGGAACCCCTGAGCATTGCCAGAGGTGGCCCTCCAGCCAAAATATAAACAAACAAATAAATAGAAAAAATTCTAGTAAGGTCATAACTAGACAGATTGAGTTCGGCAGCTGTGGCTCTGGAGCCTTGTGGAGCAGGGAACTGAAGGTAAGAGAGGGGACTTTCTGGTGGTTCAGAAAAAAATAACAGGAGTCTGAACATAGGATATATCTAGTTATTCAGGTGCATCCAGCCTGTGGTTCTAAATCCAACCACAGTTGGCACACTGGCCCAGTCAGCCAGGTTTCACTGGCACACACATGCATGGTTCGTTCGTGTGCCCTCCACAGCTGCATTCTCGTCAGTGACAGCGGAGGGGCTGCGGCCGAGACCTGGAGCCACCAGGCCTTCAGGCTGTGTCATGGCGCCACCCGCCAGGCCCAGCATCTCCAGTTGTCCTGGGCTGCTCTGCCCTGGACTCCTACATTGGGGCGGGGGAGGGGGGTTGGGGAGGAAGGCAAGGACTAGAGAGATAGTACTGGAGTTAAGCACTCGCCTTGCATATTACTGGGGTTAAGCACTCGCCTTGCGTGCAGTTGGCCATTATTTGATCTTCAGCCCTGCAGATGGGCCACCAACAACTTCCACGACGAGTCCCTGAACACCATAGGATATGCCCCACCCCCCAAAAAAATAATTGTCAGCCTTCAACCGAATATTTTAATATTCTTCCTTTGTGTTTCAAAAAGGTCATCATTAGTGCTATTTTTGTTTCCTTTTCTAAAGATTTAGACTTAGAGCAGATGGAGTAACTGACACAAGTATTCCTTTTAGTTATGTTTTCAAGTTTACTGAAACAAGTGCAAAATCTGGTGTCATCACACCTGATGTTCTTTTCATTTGTACCTGGACCTGATCATTGTGGTCAACTAAAATTCATGTGACATTTGTTTTTTTGTTGTTGTTGGGTTTTTTTTGTTTTGTTTTGTTTTTTTTTTTTTAATCTTGAAAGGAATTTCTAGTTCAGGTAGAAAACATTCGTAACCCAGATTTCTTCTGCCCTAATCTATTGTAAGAAAATAAATTGAAGACATACACATACTTTATAGCTAAATCAGTGTTCTGATTTTTATTTCCAGAATTTCAATAAAATTATTTCCTGTATAATTTTGATTGATTAAGGTCATTCTACCTTAATTTAAGAGGAATGATAAGAACTTTGAAAGGTCAGATTTAAAAGGTTATGAAATTTAAGGGTGACCACTTGATAATTTGCTAGTGTTGAAATACAAGTTTATTAGTTTCTGAGGGTATAAGCTGAAAGATGTTTCTTCTTCTATATTGATTAGCTGTTTTTAAATAAAATGCAAGGAGAAAATTACACTAATTTAGACAAATAAAAAGGGAGGAAAGGGGGGAAAATCAGAATGATGAAATTCTTAAAATATATTTTACTAATCTTGATAAAATTGTAAAAGCTAAGAGAAGTGTTTAGGATGGGGTAATTTATGATTGGGATATTGAATGTTTTCAACTTGGTAACTTCTAAAATTTCTAGAGTGTCTAAAAATTGTTATGCAATTTCCCTAGCTATCTTAATTCACTTTTTTGTTTGTTTGTTTGTTTGTTGGATCACACCCAGCCACCATACTCAGGGCTTACTCCTGGCTCTGTGCCCAGAAATTACTCAATCCAGGCCTCAGGGTACCATGGGCAGTGCTGGGGACTGAACAGGGGTCAGCTGAACACCCTACTCACTGGGCTATCAGTCTGGCCTCCTAAACTTAGGTGCAAATCCTGAAGTGAGCGGCATGGACACTGCTGTCTTTACAGACTAGAGGTTTGGGGGTGGAGAGACAGTGCAGGGCTGTTGGTGCCTGCCTTGCACGCAGCCCACTTGGCTTCAATCCCTGATACCATGTACAGTCCCCCAAGCCCTGCCAGGAGTGATCCCTGAATGCAGGGCCAGGAGAAAGCCCTGAGTATTTCTGGGGCCATAATCCCAAAGTAGCAACAGAAATAAATAAAGACTCCAGAAGCTCTTTGAACATGCAAATGGGGGTGAGAAATGTCGTCTTTGAGAGACCCTCTATGTTTTCTCTTTTTGAAAAGGGGCAGGGCTCTGGTGCTCTTTGGCTCATCCCTGCCTTAATTTACTGGACTGGTTCCCACCAGATAGACATTCCATGCTTCCCGTCTCCTGTTAGACATGACTGTCGATATCCTGCTACATAGAACTTTGCATGCATTCATCAGTATATTCATGGGATGCAGGCCCAGAAGTAAACATTTCAGGCATAGGGTCATCGGTGTTTGTGAACCAAAGTGAGGTGGTTTTGCCTGTGCAGATACATTTCTCGAATTCTCAAATATTACATTCTTGGGCAGGAAAGACCCTTAAATCTTGGAAGTGCTCACGTTTTGTTTTTATCTCTAATCAGGCCAGCACTAAAGTAGAAGTTGACATGGAGAAAGCAGAGAGCCTGCAGGTGACAAGAGGAGACTTCCTGGCATCTTTGGAAAACGATATCAAACCAGTGAGTATGACCACTGATGTAAAGCAAGAATAAGAATGCAAGAGAAAAATGAGTGCCATTTATCCAGTATTATGGAGGGTATATCAAATATGAATTTAGGAAAATCAGGAAAATCTCAATATTGGGAGTTTCTGATGTAGCAGGTATCTATACAAGAACTCTTATGACAGGTAATTAATACGTAATGAAATATTTCTCAGGGTAAGGAATTTCAAAACTTCCTTTTAAAGCAGGCCATTAGTGTTGCGGCTTTTAATGATTAGTTTTGGGCCCGGAGCAATAGTACAGTGGGTAGGAAGTTTGCCTTGCACGCAGCCAACCCACGTTCAATCCCCAGCATCCCATATGGTACCTGAAGTACTGCAAGGATCAGTTCCTGAGTGCAGAACCAGGAATAATCCCTGAGCATTGCTGGGTGTGACCCAAAAGCCAAAATAAATGAAAGAGATTAAGACTCACGCTTTGCATGCAGGACACTTGAATTTGGGCATCACCCTAAAAAAAAAAAAGTTTTCTCATTGGTTCTTAAAAGAATAAATGCTGGGGCTGGAGAGATAGCACAGCGGGTAGGACATTTGCCTTGCATGCGGCCAACCCAGGTTCGATTCCCAGCATCCCATGTGGTCCCCTGAGCACCGCCAGGAGTAGCTCCTGAGTGCAGAGCCAGGAGTAACCTCTGTGCATTGCCAGGTGTGATCCAAAAAGAAAAAAAAAAAAGAATAAATGCTACAGAACCTGTATTCAATCACAATCTGTTGCTCTGATACTGAAAATTCACTCTCGTATCCTCCTCGCTCTACCTGTCCCCAGCGTCCTCTAGCACTTTTCATGCTGATTTAGTATTTCTAACAATACTTAGCCATCCCGGATGTTCTGGGGGAAAAAAGGAAGGGTTAGTTTTCTTAAAATGTACTCAAATTTCAACAGTCCTGCAGTCAAAAGCTCTTGCCTAGAATTTTTGAATGTGGTATAAGGTCGAAATATATATAATTTCAAAAATTACTAAACAATGAAAATGACTTAGTCTTTTGCTGCTGTCACTTGTAGTAATTGCCCAACCAAGATATTCCCTCCTGAGAGTCTTTAACTGAGAAATGATTTGGTGATAAAGGAAAGGGAATAGGGTAGGGGTTGCCTGTAGGCCTGAGGCCCTGACTCATCCCCCAGCACTGCAGAAAGATTTTTAAAAGGAAGGAAACTGAGGTGACTTGGTTAAGTGAGTAAGTAATGAGTTGCTTTCATTTATTCCAAGGGCCTGGGGGATAAAACACAAAACAAAGTGGTGTGGAAGGGAGGAAGGAAGGTTGGCCGTGCTGCCCCGTGCTGCCTAGCAGAAAGACCTTTCTCAGCCCAGGCTTCCAAATGTTACTGCCTGAGGTTTAATGTAAAGACTTTATTAGTAATATATATATTTTTTTAATTTGAAAATTCTCAGTCTATGTATCTCAACCTTTCTGTTACACTGGGTTATGTTTTCCTCTTTGTGTCTTCTTCGTTAGCTGTATGAGAATACAATGCAGTTTAGTAAGTACAAAGGTTATTGACTCCTTCTGGCAGCTACTTTAATGAAAAGTGAATCCTGAGATCAGTTGGAAATGAGTATATAGTGGTCACAAAATAAAACCAGTTGCTTTATTTTCTTTACTTAACCTTTCAATGTCTAGTAGCGGTGTTCTTTTCTACCTCATGCTAAAGTCCTGTGTTCACACATATGTGCTTATTCTCATTACCTTTTAATTTCCATCCTCTGCTACCAAGCGGATGTGGACAAGATCTTCTCATTACAATTTTGTATAACTGTTTCAGACCATGATACAGTGTTAGGATTAGATCTTTCTGGTTTCCAAATGTATCGTACTTTTAATTCTCTTTTTTGGAGGAGGAAGGCACTATCCAGCAATGCTCAGGGGTCACTCCTGGCTCTACACTTAGGAATCACTCCTATTGGACTCAACTGACCATATAGCCTGCCGGGAATCCAACCCAGCTTGACCATGTGCAAAGCAAATACCTTCCCTGCTGTACTCTCTGATCTCTCTGGCCCTATATTTCTTTATTCTTAATGCAAGTCCATACCCCACATACTCCTTACAGAAGAAACATGTACATTAAAACATACAAACCCTTTCTAAGGATTAAGGGGGCTGGGACTGAGTACTGTAAGTCTGGAATCTATTGTCTTATCAGTTGAGTCACCAAAAGCACCTTTTCTCCCCATGTTGATAATGACTTAAAATGAGAAATTATGAAGCAGTTTTCTTTGCTCTTCAGACTCTTACAGTTAGCACTGACATTGCACTCAACACTTTGAATGTGTAGACTTCATTACCCATTGTCTGCACCTTCATGTATTTCACCGTCCAGCACTGATGTCCAGGATGCTCCTTTTTCTCTGTAGGCATTTGGTACAAACCAAGAGGATTATGCAAGTTACATTATGAACGGGATCATCAAGTGGGGTGACCCGGTCACCCGCGTTCTGGAGGATGGGGAGCTGTTGGTTCAGCAGACCAAGAACAGTGACCGCACACCCCTGGTCAGCGTCCTTCTGGAAGGTGAGGACAAAGGATGAGCTAACAGGAAAGCACTTTTATAAAGCCATCTGGCACTTTCCACAAAGGTGATCTCTTCAGTTCACCGCTTGCGCACACTCTGAAAATAGTAATCCAGCGAGTATAAATTAAATTTTCTGAGGTTCCAGTGTTACTGGTGAATGGTAGCAGCTTGTTTTCTCGTAGGATTGTATCTTCATTTCTATGTTTCTTAATAGTCTATGTGACATCATTCCAATTAAATGTCACCAAGTACTTAACTCTAGAGGCACTAAACTAGGGGCTGGGGATGCAGAAAATTCAGAGTTTTGTCTGGTCATAAGAAAAGTTATGCTATTAGGAGATGAGGGCTGGACTGGAGGTGACATAGGGCCATGGTGGAGAATTTGGGGCACCTTGATGGTCATGGGTTCAGTGACTTTGTATATCAAAAAGTAAATTTTTTTAATACAAAGAAATTTTTTTTTCTTTTTGGATCACACCTGGCGATGCACAGGGGTTACTCCTGGCTCTGCACTCAGGAGTTACTCCTGGCGGTGCTCAGGGGACCATATGGGATGCTAGGAATCGAACTCGGGTCAGTCGCATGCAAGGCAAATGCGTACCCACTATGCTATCTCTCCAGCCCCAAAGAAAATTTTTAAAAGAAAAGAAAATTGTCAAATGAACGGGGCTGGTGAGAGCCCAGTGAGGTGAACACATACTTGGCACATCAAACTGATGCCCAGAACTTTTTGATCCCCGAGCACTGCCAGGAGCAAACCCGCCCACCCACTCCACCCCACGGCCCCAACAGAGCAAAGAGCAGCCCCCAGGCAAACTAACAAATAGACCAGTCCTGTTAACAGACAGACTTATATGTCTGAAAATGCGTGCAAATCAAAGTGTTTGACTAGAGGTGGTGAGGAAAGCTAGAGGAGCTGTTTCCTTTAGACCTCAAATGATCCATTAGTTTCACCAAGCAGATAAGTGGAAGGTGCTATTCCTAGCTCTGTGCTTAGGAGTTGCTCCTGGTGGTGCTCTGAGGATACATGCTGTGCTGGGGATTGAACTGGGGTCCAGGGTATGCCTGGTAGCTGGTGCTGTTTACAAAGACCCGGTACACCATTGGAAGATTTTTTGGGGAAAGTTCGTGAGTTCGGGTTTGGATGTGTTGAGTTCAGGATTTCTATTGAATTAAAAGTGTATCCTGGCTGGTGCCCAGGAGAAAGGTCTGACCAGTAGTGAACCCACAGGGGAGACAAAGTCACTTATACAGAGGGAAGAGGTGAAGAACAGAGGGGTCCCTAGAACTGGCACATCTTCCTGTAAGTTGAGTTGAAAAGAAGATGGAAGCAGCGGAGTACCTAGAGAGGCAGAAGTGGGGATGAGGGAATTGCTCTAGCCGAGGGCAGGAATCTAGAAACGGGCCACAAGGGCAGAGGGCAGCTCCGCATGCTGGCGGCCCAGGCTGACTCCTGGCCCCACCAGGAATGACCCCGGAGCACAGTTGGGCATGACCACCCCCTTCCCTCCAAAAAAAAAAAAAGAAAAGAAAAAGAGGATGAAAGTTATCAGCCGTATCAAATATTCTAAAGTGAGATAAAAGTGTCTGCTGTTTCTCCATGGATGTCACCGGCGCCCCTGCCAGTAGCCAGTCCTACAGGAAGGAATGGACGCCACGGGGCTTGCCTGCGGGAAGTTGGGAGAGGAAAAGAGAAGGCGGCCAGTGGAGATATTATCCAGCTGCCTGCAGACGGATGTGGTAGGGAAATTCTGTTCTGAAGGGAGAAGAGAGAGTAATGGTGTGGGGTGTGAAGCCCATCGTGTTTTGGCTGCTTCTTATACTGTCAGCTAGTCAGAGCTGCCTTAAAACAATGCGGGAAAGACCAAAAGGAAAGGAAGAGATTGAACATATGGGGTGGCGGGGGGGAGCCGTCAGTGATGTTAGATTTCTGAAAAGAGTGGGAGGACCACTTGGCTTGGGTCAGAACGGGAGAGGACATGTGTCCGTTTCACAGACGGACAGGAGGAGAAGGGAGAATGCACACAAGGGCACCCCAAGCAGAGGCCTGAGCCATGAGAGCTTATTTGGGTCCATTTGCTTCTTTTTAGACAGTTTTCCTGGCCCCCAGTACATTTGGTTTTTGATTTTTTTTTTTTGGCTTTTTGGTAGACAGTTTGATAGAAATAATAACATAACTACAGACATGAATTTGAAGGCACTCTTTTTTTTTTTTTAAGTCCCAAACACCTTGCATATGTAGTCAGACATTCGAAAACTCAGGGCTCTGAGAGAAAGCCAGCAGGGATGGATTTCATCAGACCTTGGAGAAATGCTAATCAGTTCATTAGGTTTAGTTGCTAATAAATAAGCGAAAACATGTCTGCCCTGAAATCCTGTCAGGAAATGTTAATGAGCAACTAGTCGAGGCCTTCGTCCCTCAGAGCTAAGAGTTCCAACTTGCCTGGTTCCTCTGGGCTCGGCTGACTGGGTTCCCCGCCTCACTCTTTCTGCAGGCCCTCCGCACAGTGGCAAGACTGCCCTCGCCGCCAAGATCGCTGAGGAGTCCAACTTCCCCTTCATCAAGATCTGCTCTCCTGATAAGATGATCGGCTTCTCCGAGACAGCCAAGTGCCAGGCCATGAAGAAGGTAGCCCAGGCTGTTTTTGTTTTTTTTATACATTTTATTTTCATGAAGTAGTTCACAGTAGTTCATTACAGATAATATTCAAACACCCACCCCATCAGAATGCATCTTCCCTTCCAATCAGAGGAAAGTGTGTGAAGGTTGTTGTATTTCATTCTGGTGCCATTTAAGCCCATGTATAAGAGAATACAAGCAAGAATTTTCTTCGAGCAGGCTTGAGGAACTCAGCATACCTGGGTTCTTCTGCTGGTTCCTTCATGAGTGAGGCTCATCCAAGCATATGGAGAGTGGCCGAGAGCATTAGCCGGGCTTTTGACTCTCATTTCAGTATCTGGCTCTGAGATGCTCCAACCTGTGCACACAACACGTCTGTATCTTTGTGCTTGTGTCCATCAACACACAGTGTTGACTCGGTTGCCTGTGGAACTCCTTGGTGGCCGCAGGAGCAGAATGATGACTGCTAGATATAATTAACCTTAGAATACCTCTGTATAGCTTTATCTTCTTAGTTATGCCTGGCTTAATCTATATTACAACTCATTTTCATTTCCTTAGGACTTGAACGACAGAATCATGATAATGAAAATGTTTGGGTATAATGGAGAAAACTTAGGATGGGGGGGGGGTAACTCCTCCCAAGCGGTAATCAGGGAGCACTGGGCCCACTCCCAGAAATTTTCTGCCGACCAAACGGTTCCATGATAGGACCTGACCCAACAGCTTTGCTCAGGCTCAGTGATGCTGGCGCCACCAGGGTCAAACCCAGGCTGTTTGGGGCTTCCAGGGCTGCCCCCAGCAGTGCTGGGGACCAAACTCAGGTTCCAGCATGCAAGGCAAGTGCCCTTAACCTAAAGACTGTCTCCGAGGCCATATGGTTGGTTTTTTTTTTTTAATTTATTGAATCACTGTGGGAAAAGTTACAAAGCTTTCAGGTTTAAGTCTCAGTCATGCAATCATCAAACACATTTCCCTTCACCAGTACTTACTTTTCACCACCAAGAACCCCAATAAACCTCCCCCCCAACCCTCCCAATGCCTGTGAGGCAGATGAATTCTAGTTAACACTCTATCTACTTTTATTAGATTCATTGTTTCGACAAAAGATGCACCATTATTATTTAGAGTTTATACCCCAAAATCAGACCCGCTGAAAAGGAATTGTGAAATAATTTGTTTTCTACAGCTGGTTACATACAGCTGGTTACAAGAACCAAATGATGTCGTGCGGCCGCTATAGTGGCCGTGTGATTTTGGATTTTTGGTATTTTACTTATTAAGCCTGGAAGTATTTCTGCTGAGGGTCAGATAATTATGAGATTGGTTTCTGTGTCTCTGGAGCCATGGCCGTGCCGGAGAGCCGCTCATGGGGGCAACTTGTGACCTTGGTAGGATGTGAAGGACGAGCCGTGAACACCCCCCCTTCCCTTGAGGTTTCAGTCGCCCCATCACGACCGGCTCATACCTGGCTTTTCATAAAGCTCCGAAGCGGCTGCCATCTTTCTTTCCAGAGGGAAAAAGGCAGAAGGAAGCAACACCTTTTCCCCTCCGGGCAGGCACGGTGGCGTGGATTAACGCATAGTCCATTCACTTTTCTGCCACAAGCTGCTGGGCTCTGCATTAAATCCTTGTGCTTCTGGAGCCATGGACGTGCCAGAGAGCCACTCGCGGGGGACAACTCGTGACCTCAGTAGGGCGTGAAAGACGAGCCGGAAACTCCCCCCTTCCCATGAGGTTTCAGTCACCCCGTCATGACCAGCTCATACCTGGCTTTCCAAAAACTGTTTTGTTTTTTTCAAGCCAAAATGATGTCAGTGGACCCCATGGGTGGCTCACATGAGTCGGGAGGAGAGAAGGACGGTTACCCTCTCTCACTCCGCCTCTGCTGCCCAGGAGTTGCTGGGAAGACTCGGACCAGTAAAGTCTGCAATGAGCCCCTGCTCGGCACGGGCCTGAGCCCCGCCAGCCCCACAAGGTGGCCATCAGGCCACACCTGAAGTCCGCTTGGTCTTCTCGGCATGGGAGTTGATCCCCGCCACCCGACTGCTCTATTGCTCGGGGAGCCATGGACTCAAGTTGGGGCAAAGATTTGCTCTTTGCAGCAAAGGAGAGGCCAGTCCCAGGCCTTACCCCAGGTTTCTAGGGTTCTTGTCTTGCTTGCAGAAAAGAATTTCAGGAGTAGACAAGCAGTGAAATAACAGATTTTATTTGAAGGGTTTTTTTGGAGAGAAAGAGAAAGGGATAAGCGGTTAAGTGGGGGAATGGAGAATAAGAGAGACAGAGCAATGCACTCAGAGAGAACATGGGCTTCTCCAAGGGTGGAGAGAGCCCATATGGTTTTTTTTAAAGTTTTTTCATGAGTAGACGAAGGTAAACTGTTTTGGGTAAGTTAAGTCCACTATAAAGTTTAAGAAACAGACACACCATTGGAAAGCTATTCTCTGAGTTCCTACAGAAGGATGGTGGTTCTATCACTCTGGCCCGTTGGTCCACCTCTCTTGCATTGAAGAACATGCCATGTAAGGCACCAAAGATAGTAGGTGCTACTCTTTAAAAACACGTCAGGAGTGGAGGCTGGAGAGATAGTACAGCAGGTAGGGCACTTGCCTTGCACATAGCCGAGCCAGATTTGATCCTGACATCCATCTAGTCCCCTGAGCCCCCCAGGAGTGATTCCTGAGTGCAAGAGGCAGGAGTATGCCCTAAGCACTGCTGGGTATGACCCTAAGTCTAAAACAAACCAAAAAAAGACAAATGCATGGGGTGGGTGAAGTATGGGAACACTGGTGGAGGGTGCTGACGCTGGTGATGGGCCTGGTGTTGGAATGTTACTTGCCTAAAACTCAGCTATCGACAACTTTATAAATCATGGTTCTTTACTGAAATTAAAAAAAAAATACTCATAAGAGCACCTGGAGAGATAGCACAGTAAGACACTTGCCTTTTTTTTTTTTGACAAAGCAAAGATGTTTATTGCAGGAATATTCTGAAACCACACTGAAAGAGATGTTCATGAGGTGTATCTGTCAGAGACGACCTTGGCGTTCATCTTTTTCACAAACTCCAGGGTCTTTGTTGAGACATCCACTCTCTTGCCTGCCTCATACTCCCCACCAGGCCTCCAGGCTACAGGAAACTCCCATGAAGGAAGGTCCCCCTTAGGCCAAGCTTCCTAGCTTTTTTTTTTTTTTTTTTTTTTGCTTTTTGGGTCACACCTGACGATGCACGATGCACAGGGGTTACTCCTGGCTCTGCACTCAGGAATTAACTCCTGGCAGTAGCTCGAGGCTATATGGGATGCTGGGAATCGAACCCGGGTTGGCCACGTGCAAGATAAATGCCCTACTCGCTGTGCTATCACTCCAGCCCCGCTTCCTAGCTTTGTATAGCAGAGACAGTACCTAACCAAAAAACCAAATCCGAACCCGAACCCTGGATGTAATACTTATCTTCTCAGTAACCAAGTTCCTCCATCACAAAACCTCCCTAGACAAGCTCAGGGAGGGATACAAGGTGAGGATGCCAAGGGCCTGGTGCTCTACCAGCATCTCCATGCTGTTCACATCGGTGCACCAGAACTCCTGCATCCAGTCCCCAGCACCCATGTGGTCCCCCAAGCCTATCAGGAGGGACCCCTGAGTACAGAACCAGGATAAGCCCTGAGCACCACCAGGAGTGACCCACCCCCAAAAAACTCCAAATTAATAAAATTAAAGTAAAAACACATCAGGGGGGCCTGAGAGTTCAGTGGGTAGGGAACTTAACCCTACACAGCTGATACAGGTTCGGTCCCCAGCATCCCATATGATCCCTGAGCCTCTCCAGTAGTGATTCCCCGAGCACAAAACCAGGCCCCTGTTACATCACTTCACAGCCACTGTCTCCACTGACATGTAGAATTTGGTATGCTCCCCATGATGAAAAAAAAATTTATATCTAATTGAGATATTTTACCCTTCCCCCATACATCAATATTTGAGCTTTTATAGATGAGCTCTAACTGTAACTTGTAAAGATGTGGGAGAATCTGAGTCCAGGGCAAGAATTTTGAGAATTGGAAGCTTACTAGTAAAATCAAATGAAGTGTCCTTTTTTTTGCCTTGCCTCCAGGCCACTTACAGAGTTGTGGATAGAATTATTTCACTTTTTCTTTGTAGCAGAGACTAAAGGGGAAAAGCATATTAAAAAAGTAGCAGGGACAGAAGCAATGGGACAGCAGGTAGGGCGCTCTTGCCTTGCACATCACCGACCTGGGATTGAGCCCCGGTACCCTGTATGGTCCCCCAAACCCACCAGAGGGACCCTGAGACTCAGAGCCAGGAGTGAGCCCTGAGCATCTCCAGGTGTAGCTCCAAAACAGAAGAAATAAAATTTAATGAAGCTGACTAGACACACACACACACACACACACACACACACACACACACACACTTGTTTATTGTTTGTGCGGATGGCAGAAACTAGTTTGTGAGGGCTGCTTGAGAAGAATGGAAGAGGTGGGGATTGTCCCAGGATCCCAGACACTGAAATGTCAAGACAGATTCTCCATCCAAGGACCACCGTTGCAATTGAGTAGAAGAGTGAGAAGTGTTGCTGGGACTTAGTATTACTAAGTGTTACTAAGAGGACTTAGTATCATGGTCACTTTATTCAGCCTCTACAGTATAGATCGGGGGACCCGTCCCTTGTGGGAATACCAAGACCCAAGGGTTACCAGAAAAAACCAACAGCAACAAAGGTTAGGGAGAAGTGGGCTTTAGTTTTCCCTCTAAAGAAAGTCCTTCAGGCATTTCTCCTGTGGACACTTTGAAGAGCACTTGGGCTCCCGGGGCACTGAACTTAGCACTGAACAGCAGCCCATTCTCTTTGCCTTTGCGTTCCTCCGGCTTCCTGAAACACAAGCACACCCCAGGGACTTGGGTTTTGCACACCAGGTCACTCACCGCTGCTCCTCCTGGCCGCCTGGCTCCGCCTCGGATGTGCTCTGACATGTGGGTGGATGCTCC